TTTTTTTTTTTTTTGTTTTTTTTTTTTTTTTTTTTTTTTTTCTTTTCTATTCCAGGCGCGCACGCACCAATTCAATGACTACAAGCCAGCGTACACAAAGAATTGTATATTACGTACACCCCAAGGGTGTAAATAGAAAATAATCTGTATATACGAGCGAAGGAGCCGTGCGCGCGCTCAGCTCAAGCTTGGCCCTCGCACTGACTGTAACGCTGCCCGTGTAGGTTGTACAGGGTATGAGTATACACTCCTTGGGGTGGTGGTGCGTGGAAAATCTCTGGCGCGCGGCCGCGGGTAGCTCCCCCTCCCTTTGGTAGCTGCTCCTTGTCCGTGTGATATATATGTATACTTGTTGTATAGTGCGGCGCTACCCATTATTTTAGCCCCAAAGAGGGGAGAAAGAAAAAAAAAAAAAGCGAGGGAACGGATGAACAAGTGGAAATAATAATCCATCTCCTCCGTCCTGCGTGACGCGCTTCGAGCTTGCAAAGTGTGTATACATATATGTATATATGCTGACTTATGCATCAGAGTAGGAGGAGGAGTCAATGAAATAACAACGCTTTGTCAGCCGTCTTATATATATATACGAAGGGCCATTTATCTTGGGCCCCGGGATTTTCCTTGGCTTGCACCGTGCATACGTGAATTACACAATAAATAAATACTTCATCGGTGTGTATATACACGTACAGTTGAGTTTGCGCACGTGTGTGTTATATAATGTATGCAAACTACGTAGCTTTCCTTCTCCTTCCGATCAGACTATTCCATCCGCGCCCCCTTGGGTGTACCGCTCCTCATCGCACCCCCCGGGCGTATAAACGTGCGCTTTGCTTTGCGGCCAAAAGTCTACTCGTGCGTGATATATTATGTGGACACCCCCCCCCCTCTCCCGCCGTTACCTCTCATCACGCGCCCTTGTCCTTTATTCTCGTTCTTTTGGATTATACGTCAAGGGGAGGATAATGCGCGGCCCAAGGGAGAGCACTTCGAACGAACGACATTTATTTGTTGCTCGCTCTACGTACATACGCACGGATGGATTTTTTTTGCATTGTAACGTATAGCAATTTTGTTTCATGAGAATCGTCAAGTTAACGAGGTGCCAAGAGCTTATATACATATTATTATGTGTGTTAGGTAGTGGGAGCAAAAAAACTTAACAGGGTCAGATTTTAAAGATTAATGTGGCAAAGTTGAGAAAAACGTATAGTAAGAAGGAGCACAACTTAATTGAATATTAGAGGATGTGTGAGGAAAAGCGAACAGGTGAGAGTTGATGAATAACATGGGATGTGGAGCATTCAATTGTGCGAATATAATGTATATTGGCTACGCTAAAACTTGATTAATCATACGTACAAAAGAGACGGATTGATGAAGAGGGGATGATTGAATTCACGATTTGATTTGATTTCCTTTTGCATCGAACGCGAGCTCGCGGCTCCTTTCTTCGAAATTTTTACTCATGGAATAAAAGAGGACACGCTTTTTATATAATGAAACAAAGCAACAACGGCAATGATGATTAATATTGATCCATCATTATAAAAAAAAAAAAAAGTTGTTCCAATACTGCGCGTGGATTTTAAAGATATATGAAGGAACGAGATATATGAGATTCCGGCAAGTAGTAAATGGAACGACACAGAGCTCAAAAGGAAAGTTGGAAGGAACGAAATAAGATCATACGATGATATAGCGATTCCGAGTGTTGCGTTTGTGCAAAAAGAAAAAGGAAAAAAAAAATGTTTACTCGCACTCGAAGGCAGATACAGAGTGTAAACAAATCTTTGCGGGTATTAAACTTGATGTACCGACGAAAACGGTGATGGTTGTTGTGCGTGTGGGTATATGAACGAAAGCAAGCGCGAGTGTGATGAAAGTGAGCGAGTCTGTCCGAGCGGCGCGGAAAAGGGTCCATCATATTGATTGACCTAATTCAAGGCACCCGCCTCGCAGCCGCCTCTCTCCATATATATACATCGTCAACTCCCTCACTTTTGCTCGCACGCTCGTATGTTGTATACACCTTTTTTTTTTTTTTTTATTTTTTTTATTTGTGGGTTTCACGGTACACCCCAGGATAGTCGGGTTATACAGCTTTCGTTGTGTTGATACATTTTTCGTTCGCACCACGTTTTGCGACTACCAGACAACTGGACCATTTTGTTTTCCGCCGTAACAATAATAGTTTCAAATTTGCCGTGGTAACTTGATAAAAAAAAAAAAAAAAATTTCAATCGCAAAAACGTGAGTTTGCTTGCAAACCGAATCAAGTCAATCGAACGCTTTGTGGGACAAAATAAAATGCACACGTGAAATTTATGTTGCTTATGGTTACTCAACTATTGGATATTTCAAAATTTAAAGACGATTTTTAAAATCCATTTCTACACCCCTCGAGTATTGGAAGTGCTCAATCCTTCGAAGCCACACTCATTTGCTTCAATAAACAAGAAACTATATGGGCAACTTCTGCAGCAAAATTAAATTTTTTATTTGCTTTTTACGACTGAAACCTTAATTTTTCCCCTTTCTGTAGTACGTACCTCCCCCCCCTTTTTTTCTATTAATACCGGATATCCGCGAGTCGGAGGAGCGAGAGAAGCTCTGATTTGATGCACTTTATTCGAGTTTCCTTCTTGTGTCTCCATTGAGGGAGACTCGACTGTGCGGGTGTAAATTTCATTCCCTGTCGCTCAATCGCTGCTGCCTGTTACTCAAATAACGCGAGTACTATTTTTGCTAAGGTGTTTTTTTTTTTTTTTTTCTATTCGGAAGGGTGAGGATGGTACTGTGGCCGTTGAAATTGATTGAATCGAGATCACCGTCTCCAAGTAAATCATTTTCACGAACTGATTATATAGTCATTAAAAAAACTTTTAATATCTATGGAAAGAAAACAAAAAGTTATAAATGGAAATCGTTATGAATATTTAATGAAAAAGTCTTTAGATTTTTCTTCATTTTCAAAATGCATTGTGAAAATTATTATATTTTCACATCACGACCACATATAAGTCACGTAAAAATTACGTTTTTACACATATGTCATTTTCACATAAACTGTAAATTCTACGGCATTCGGTTAAGGCTCAATAATACTTGCAGAATGACGCAAATTCAAACCATAAAAATTTCACTTACAAAAATATTTTCGATCAAGTGGTACGCGTACATATATTAACGACGGCTTAAAAAAAAAATCTTTGGCTGACAAATTTCTTATGTACTCAAAATATCCATCATTCACATCGCTCGTTTGATTTCTTATCATTTACCTCGCAACGACCTTTTCCAGGCGTGATTCCAAAGTATACATTGTTTTTGTTATTTTTTTAATTCAAACAACAACGATATTGACAAAGCAGGTCACAAAAAATTGATAAACAATATTATACCGCTGCGTTAACTGGAAAAGTACAACCAAGGTAAGCTGGTACGATAGTGCATAGGCAAGTGCTTAATTATTTAAAAAATTAATGAAAAATACTTTGATATAAATCTATAGTGATAAAGTTGTATATATACATATATACACATGCGCTATTGATTTTTATTCAACATACAAATATTTTTATTTGTTTATAATTGTCAACGAAAACCACGTTCATTTGAATAAACAAAACCACAATCATTATCTGATTCGTGTGACTTTCGTGTATACACAACGTACATAATATTTTAAATTACGATTGATTACACAAGTCTGATTTCGAATTTAATGATGAATCAGATGATAAAAGCTTGTATATTTCACTGAGAAGTATCGAATCATCAGTTTTGTCCAATACTCCTCAACCAAAGTTGATCGTTTGTAGTGATAAATTATCGAAAAATGTTAATAAAGTTAAGTATTGTACTAGTGACGCTTGTTACAAGGGGATTATGCAACAACATTTTGACGAGTCCAGTAGAAACGGAAGGTGGCCGAGTAGTTGGTCTTCAACTGTCAACTTTGCCAAACGACATTCCGTACTTTTCGTTCAGGGGTATTCCTTACGCTGAACCTCCAGTAGGGAATTCCAGATTCAAGGTAGCTTGAGCTTGAGTTTCGTTTTCAAAAAAGTTTGACAATTTTCTCAAAATAACATTTCCAGCCTTCTCAACCAAAGCTGCCGTGGTCGGACGTTTTGTATGCTTTGAACGACAAAGAAAAATGTCTCCAGATGAATAATGGCCAAGTTTCGGGATCGGAAGATTGTCTGTACTTAAATGTGTACACGCCAAATGTAATACCATTTACTATTGAAAATACAACATTTTTACTCCAATATTAATAAAAAAAAAAAAAAAAAAATTTCATTCAGACTAATATTTACGGAGGTTTGAAACCAACGATCGTTTGGATTCACGGGGGAGCTTTTACCACAGGGAACGGCAACAGTTCATACTACGGACCTGATTTCCTTCTGGAAGAAGAAATAGTTGTCGTATCGATTCAATATCGCTTAGGACCTTTGGGTAAAATATGAGAAAATATCGCGCCAACTCTTTCGGCTGTGAGCAAATCTTCACCGCGAACAATAACCACCTTAAAAAAGTTACGATTTTCCAAAGGTTTTCTAAACGTAAATCACCCAAGCGCTTCCGGAAATAACGGCCTCAAGGATCAGAACTTGGCTTTGAAGTGGATCCAGAGGAACATCCGCAATTTCGGAGGTGACCCGAACAAAGTGACACTGATGGGCCAAAGTGCGGGTGGTGTGGCGGTGGATCTCCATAAGTTGTCAAACATGTCAGCTGGTTTGTTCCAGCACACAATTTCCATGAGCGCATCTCCTCTTTGCACGTACTGGGCGTTCCAAAGTTACGAGGAAGCAGAAGAACAAGCCTATTCCCTTGGATCTAAATTTGGAGTGAAAAGCAGAGACGCGGATGCTTTGGTGAAAAAGCTTTTAGAAGTACCCGCGGAAGAAATAATTCAGAAATCCAGCGAATTGCCCATGGTACCCCTTGTTTCGTATGAATTTAGCTTTTTTTCGCATTGATTTGAAATTAAATTTACTCTATTTTATTTTATGTTCAGATTCCTTTCAGACCCACGTTGGAGCGAGCCGATGTTGCACCCGAGGAGCCGAAATTCATAACCGTGTGTCCACCGAAAAAATACTATGACGGCAATTACAATAAGGGCCCCCACATGATGGGTTACACCTCCGCTGAAATATTGTCAATGTCAAGTAGTGAGTTCCCAGTAATAGTACCTTAGTACACGATGAAAAGAAAAGTATTAATTGTTTTTTTTGTTTTGTTTTTTTTTGAGCTCTCGACGATTTAATTAAATGGCACAAGGGAGCAGCGCAGTCCATCAAACGGTACAAAATCGCAAAAATTTTCCCAACCACGTCGGAGATCTTGGCCATAAAGTTTGAGGCAATAGCAACGTTAAAAAGAAAAGCCTTCTCCAATCTGATAAAGGTAAATTTTTAACTCAATAAAACGAGCAGGCGTGCACAGGGATTTGGATACGTTTATGACGAAACTCACTGGAAACGTTGAACCGTACCTTGGGCAATAAAAATCGTTCACCTTACGTTTTTAAACAAAACCTGTTCTTTCAATTTACTTTTCAGCGATTGTCTGATGTTTATTTTGTGTCGGGGATCGATATGACGCAGCAATTACTAGCTAAAACGAATGAAGCGCCAGTGTATTATTACCGCTACGACTTCAAATCACCGGAATCGGCTCACAAATCCGAGGGAATTACGATACTCGATGGTGAAAGTCATGCTAAAAAATTTATTTTCCCCCACTCATTGGCTACGAAAAATCTTGAAACCATAGTTTTTCGACAGGCGTAGCACACGAGGACGAACTGCCATACATATTTCATCGCCCGCACTTGAAGATGTCTTTCCGTGATCCTGAAATTGCCCGCAATAGAGATAGACTCGTTCGAATGTGGACGAATTTCGCGAGATACGGGTAAGGCTTTTCATCTGAATTCAATCGATTCGGTATACATACGATGAATAAATCAAGGTACAACAATGTATGTAATTTAAGGGATCCGACTCCATTCGGTGCCGAAGATGGACGATTGGATGGGGTGACGTGGCCAGACTCGGGCAAGGATGGAGCTCATTTAGAAATCAACGGCAATCTCACAATCGTCAAAACTCGTCGGACCAATCCTTTGATAACTCTGTATCAAAAATTAAATTTCGGTGACTCGAATATTTACAAAAACTGCAATCAAAGTGTGGTGAGCGACATCATTAGCGGAGTCATGAACATTCCTGTCGCTGTTGTAGAAATCATTTCTCACTTCAAAAAATACTTTGGATAGCTTAAGACAACTGCCACCGTGTGATGATTTAATGACTGTGGCGTTAATAATGTCACTATCCGTAAGCAAAATTGTTGTCTCTTAAAACTTGGCTGTAGGCAAAGCTAAGCAGGAGCGCAATGTGACATCGCAAATGTGAATGATACTATACAAAATACATTTGACGCGGAGCAAGATGTTTTGTGATATTAAAAATATGTAAAACTTTTACGTTATTATTATTGTAAAAATTGTTACTGATGTAAATAAAATTTAAAAATATTATCAACTCGACTGCGCAAGTGTTTTTTGTTTACCGTTGCGATCAGTACGTTGCATAATAAAATTGAACATGACTTTTCGTTCTTATTGGTAATTTTATAATATGCAAGAACGTCGTTTTCAATATTAAAAAAAAAAATTTTTTCCAAAACTCCTCTGTTTCATTAAGTAATAAAAAAAAAAAAAAAAAATCAAATTAGGAATGCATCATAGTCATCGTAATCACTGATGTAAATGCTGGAGTTTCTCATGGTAATTTCTGTAATTCCTGATCAATTAAATGGTAATGAACTTGTAGAAACAGTACAAAAGCTTGTTAATGTATTAAGGCCTTGAGGATTATTTATGAATGTAGTAGATAATGCATAATCGGCATAGATAAATTTGCGAAGTAGTTGAAAAAGAAGGAGCTTGTTTTTTCAACCTTGTCTGAGTATTAGATCGGCAATACTGCGGTAAAGAAATAAAAATCTGAATTGTAAGCTTTCGATGAGCTGTGAATTCACAAAAAATTGTGTTACGGACTGGGATTTCATAATTACCGTTGTTAAGTACAGTAATAATTAACTATGAAATTCCCACGAATTGTAGTTTTAATTTTCGTACTTACCCTCAAAGTGAAAGCTAACTCTCACCCGATACAAACAGACACTGGCCCTATCGTCGGGGAAGTTTTTTACACTGTGACTAAATCAGTACCATATTTCTCATTTAGGGGAATCCCATATGCCGAACCTCCAGTTTTTAACTTCAGATTTCAGGTAGTTTGAATCAAAATAATAAATTTTTTCATTGTGCGATTTCAAAAAAAATTTCTATTGGCAACGTATAAAAAGCAGAAATTACGCAATGCATTAAAATTTTCTTTTTTCCAGCCTCCTAAGCCAAAAAAACCTTGGAGAGAAACATTAAATGCAAATTCGGACAAAGACAAATGCATTCAGTCAAGCAACAAAAATATCTCCGGTTCAGAGGACTGCCTGTACCTTAACGTTTACACGCCAACCGTAACTATGCACATACACCTGTTTATAAATCCTTCAGCACCCACACCTCGTAACGTTATATTGCAGAACGTAACTTCGGAGTCAAGTTTAAAACCGGTAATAATTTGGATCCACGGCGGAGCCTTCACTACCGGTTATGCCAGCAAATCTTACTACGGGCCAGATTTTCTCATAGAAGCGGACGTCGTTGTCGTTACCGTGCAATATCGGCTAGGACCATTAGGTACATCGCACGGGTTGGAATAAAAATGTACAACAACCAAAACCTTATGTATTGTTTTTGTACAGGTTTTCTAAACGTAAATCACCCAAGCGCTTCCGGAAATAACGGCCTCAAGGATCAGAACTTGGCTTTGAAGTGGATCCAGAGGAACATCCGCAATTTCGGAGGTGACCCGAAAAAAGTGACACTGATGGGCCAAAGTGCGGGTGGTGTGGCGGTGGATCTCCATAAGTTGTCGAATATGTCAGCTGGTTTGTTCCAGCACACAATTTCCATGAGCGCATCTCCTCTTTGCACGTACTGGGCGTTCCAAAGCAATGTCGAAGCACGTACGCAAGCGTTCCTGCTGGGCTCTAATCTCGGCTTAAAGACAGACAACGAAGAGGAATTGTTAAATTTTCTGAAAAACGCCACAGCCGGTGAAATCATCAAAAAAGCTGGCGAACTACCAGGGGTAACATTAATTTATACTTATTGAATTTTCCACAAAATTGTAAATTGATTTGTTCCTTTTCAAATGCGTAGATTCCCTTTAGGCCAACGTTGGAGCGGGCCGATGTTGCTCCGGACGAACCAAAGTTTTTAACTGAGTGCACGCCAAAATTGTACCACGAAGGACGTTACAACAAAGGCCCTCATATGATGGGTTTCACATCAAACGAAATATTGTTTCTAGCTAAAAGTAAGTGCAGCTGTTGATAAACACTTTTGTTTGCACAAGATTATATAATAACAGTAGATATTACAAACCATCTGCTTCAGGTTTGGATGATTTGATACAATATTACAAAGATGCCGTGAAATCAATTAACAATAATACTTTACTGAAAGCCATTCCGATCGTGTCAAAAATCATATCCATACCGTTTGAAGGAATCGCAGAATTAAAAGAAGCAGCTTTCTCTGAATTAATTGAGGTATGTATGTAAAGAGAAAAAAATTTTTTTTTAAATATTATGGAACTAGATTTGCATGTACGATTTTCTTTTTTTCAGGACTTATCGGACATTTATTTTGTATCGGGGATCGATATGAAACAAAAATTGCTTTACAAACACAACAACGCTCCAATATACTATTACCATTATCTTTTCAAATCGTCGCAATCCGCTCATAAATCTGCAGGCATTAAAAATTTGGATGGTAAACGCGCCAATATCTTAAAATTATAAATTCGTGTATTGCGTGTTGTATATTATTTTTACTTTTTTTTTTTTTCATATAGGAGTTGCGCACGAAGATGAATTGCCTCACATTTTTTACAGGCCTCATTTGGACATTGATATCTTCAGTCCAAGAATTACAACTATGAGGGAAAA